CCTGCTGAGATAAAAGCTCTGCTGTTGATCATATAAAATGGCTGCCTAAATTCGCCTTCGGCACTTATTTTTCCTCCGTGGCAGTACTGACTAGGAGGAAGTTACATATAGGCGCAGAGTGGGCTCTGTGTGCCTATATGTAACTTGCTCCCAGTCAGTGCTGCCACAGAGGAAGAATGAGTGTTGGCGGAGACTTCTTAGGAGCGTACCTTGTGCTCCTCCTTAATGAGACCGGCTGTAGAAGGCCGGTTGCGGTTGTCTTAACATTTATATCAATGTGGCCGGCCGGTCTCATTAAGGGGGCGCACAGACTCAGAGTGCACTCCTAAGAAGTAAAACACGACAAAATTGATTTTTTAAAAAGAAACAACAGGATGGGGGAAAAATGAAGAAATAATGGCTCTTTTCACATGATTGGATAATTGAATTTATTGTGTGAACATTCTTAAATCCTTTAGTAAAACAGCCACACTGTGGATTATCTGAAGATTCTACAGCGATTCAGCTGCTCCTAGTTAGAATACAAAGGGGGTTATTCACTATTGAGTCGATGGATGCAGCCGTAGCTTCGGCTGATCCTTCGGCTTTCTTTGGCCGCCAGAGCCCTTTGGTTCAGTTGAACTGAAGGGCTGCTGTATAGGCTATTCACAAAAGCCCGCACAGCAGCCGAAGGCGGCCGAGCGGCTCAGCCGAGCCGAAATGACAGCTGAAGCTGGGTGAACGGCCTGCCGAAGGCCGAGCCAGCCATGATGTCGCAGCCATCTTCACCCAGTTGTTATTGTATAATGACAGATCAGCGTCCTCAGGTCATTTGGGGACGCTGATCTGTCATTACAACTGGGCAGAGCCAGTCATGAGATCACGTCTGGCTCCGCCCAGTTGTTATTCATTGGTCGGGACCTGCTAGAAAACTCTAGCAGGTGCCGGCCAATAGGAAACAGTTTGGCGGAGCTAGCTGTCACTGCTAGCACCATCCATTTGTTTTTCTTGTGCCGGCATCTTTGCTGGCGTTTTAAAAAAAAAATTAATTTTTTTACATTTTCTTTAAACTATTTAAATTTCTTTTTAATTTTCATACATTTTAAAAAAATTTTCAACTTTTTCTTTCTTTTTTTAAATTTAAATTTATTTCACATATTTTCTTTTGTCCGCTCTGCGATATTTGGCTATTCACTCACTGCCGTTCGGCCCCTATAAGAATAGGGGCGAACGGCAGCGAGTGAGCTTCTGGAGCTTCGGCTCAGCCGATCCAGATGTTGGATCAGCAGAGTCGAACTCCTTCTGCACTTGAGCTGAGCCAAACATGCAGAGCATGTTCAGCTGACCGAATGCAGCCGATGTACAGCTGATTTTAGCCGATGTACAGCTGAAATCAGTCGTACAAGCTAGAAGTGAATAGTCGAGCAGCGTTCGGCTCACTTCACTTCGGCTGGGTTATTAACTCGGCAGCCTTCGACAGCTCTGTGAATGATCCCCTAAATGTTCTTTGTACTGAACACCATACATAGGATTTTGTTTTCAAAACGTGTGATATCCTAATACAAATTAAAGTTTGAGCTATCGGTTTGATTCATTTGTGCTTTTTTCTTATATACTGATCCATTTGGAGGTGATATATCTAGAGAGAATTAGCACTTGTATTCTGTAACCATTTGTGGCTGGGAGAAGAGATCTGTATACCCACTGATTATGAGGATAATTCGTCAATATATCTGCACATATTCTGGGATTTGCACACATTCAAATTTTGCAAAAAAAGACCCTCTCGTCGATGGCTGACTTTAAAGTTGGATTAGTGTATCAAAACTAAACCTAATGCATACTTCTACCTTTGTATATATATGTTATTTGATATCCTGTTGTTAATATGTTATGTGACTACATACTACTATGGTTCCTTTTGAAACCTTACCTGGTGAACCTCTGTTCACTTTTTTGATGTTATCTGTAATCCTGTTTTCTACAATAAAAATCTTTGTACAACAAAACTAAACCTAATGCAACGAAAAGTTTTTTTCGCCATCAGCGCATGCAAACATCTGGACGCCCTGCAGATGGCACCAGACTAATGTTTTGAACTGCATGCATGCAATATCATGATGTCAAGAAGTCATCAAAGTGTTTTAAAGATTTTGGTGTGTATTTTCTCATAGAAAAAAGTCAGGTTCAAAACTGCACCGGAAGATGGTTGTTGATTAATGAGCATTTGAATTTGAGTGGTTGTTGATTCTGACACCCTTGTATACTTGTATCTAGAAGTGGTACTCATTAGGATTAACCTATTGACAAAGGACTATGCACTATTTGTAATTAATTGACAGAAGCAAGTTTAAATAAAGGTAAAATTAGGCTTATAGTAAACAGCAAATCAAATAAAAACAGAGCAACCAATCAGAAATCATTTTTATATTTCTGATTTATGTAAACTTATGAACTGTTGTTATAAGTTACTGCACCTTAAACTTTAGCACTGCTTCTACTGGGGTCTATAAGCCCGTCACAGAGAAAGATTGCTACTTTTATCTAATTCTCCCCATACTATGGATAAAGGTATTTATCAAGGTACCTTGCGCGGGTGTCCCCACACCGCATGCAGGTACCCACGCAGGAGGACCATATGCGTGACCACACAAGACAAGGCGAATGAGTTTATGTATAGGTTTTAATATGCCAACCAAAATAATATAAACAGAAACAAGTAAGAGTAACCAACTACATCTAAACCAAACCACATGCAAAAAGTAACAGGCAAGTAAACCCAGGGAGCAAAGCAAAACGCCAGGGGAACTAAGGGACAAAAGGTCAGGGTACAAGGAGGTAACAGGACTCGGGACTCAGGAACATAAGCAGGTGACGGCTCCGGACAACAAGCAGGGAACAGGGCTCCGGACAACAAGCAGGGAACAGGGCTCCGGACAACAAGCAGGGAACAGGGCTCAGAATTCATAGGAAATGGCAACAGGATACTGTGGCAGTACCCTGACTGCAGGGAGGGATTAAATACCCTCCCAGGTAGTGATTAATCACTAACAGCTGGGAGGTGGCCACAGGTGAGGACTGAACATGCAGGTTCCAGCATCACCCAGTGGTGGTCTGGTACCTGACATCTCCTGTCTGCCTGGAAACACCTGTAGGTGAGCGCAGGAACTGCAGGACCTGGTTCCTGCGCCACCTGGAGGTGCTATGCTCCCTGACAGTATTACCCAGATGAATTCAGGTACCTCAACCTAAAAAGATATTTCTGAATAAAAAAAAATTACATACATTACCTATGAGCAATACCCTACTAATTGTGATACCTCAGTACTGTAAACCAATTCACATTATGGTATACTCACTGTTTACATCAAGGGCCTCAAAGTACCAGACCACAGATTGGTTACTTTTGGCCTGCAGGCCCGGCCACCAATAGGGGAGTAGAGCCGGCCCTTCTGTACCAGGCCCAGTGACAGAAAAGGGGCTCTTATCTTTTTTAGCAGCCAGGGGCTTGGCTAGGGTTGCCACCCATCTGGGATTCACCCAGACAGTCCGGGTTTTGAGTCCTGTACATGCTTGAAACCCTAACACAAGATGTCACAAAGTCAGTCGGACAGGGGCAACCATGGGGTCCTGGTGTTCCCACTTGAGTACATGGAGGAGGCACGGGACACGGAGGGAAGCTGGAACTCAGGGAACAAGGAGGTGTCTGAAACACAGGGTGCAGATAAGTCTTGAAGGGCACAAGGGTTCTGCTTTGGCCAGATGTGTTGCTTGCTATCTCTCCTCACTCTCTCTCCCGTGGTTGTCTCTCCTCACTCTCTCTCCTGGCTGTCTTTCCACACTCTTTCCCCTAGCTGTCTCTCCTTGCTCTCTCCTGGCTGCCTCTCCTCGCTCTCTCTTGGCTGCCTCTCCTAACTCTCTCTTTGCTGTCTCTCCTCTCTTTCTTTCTTTCTCCTAGCTATCTCTCCTCGCTCATCCTTCTGGGTGTCTCTCCTCGCTCTCTCTCATGGCTGTCTCTCCACACTCTTTCCCCTAGTTGTCTCTCCTCGCTCTCTCCTGGCTGCCTCTCCTCTCTCTCTCTCTCCTTGCTGTCTCTCTATGCTTTCTCTCCTGGATGTCTCCCCTTGCCCTTCTTTCTGGCTGTCTCTCCTCACTCTCTTTCTCCTGGCTGTCTCTCCTTGCTATCTCCCCTGGCTGTCTCTCTTTGCTCCCTCTCTTGGCTGTCTCTCCCCGCTTATTCTCGTGGCTGTCTCTCCTCGCTGTCTTTCCTTGCTCCCTCCTCTGGCTGTCTCTCCTTGCTCTTTCTCCTGACTGTCTCTCCTTACTTTCTCCCCTGGCTGTCTCTCCTCACTCTCTCTCCTCTCTCTCACTACTGCCTGTCTCTCCATACTCTCTCTCCTGGCTGTCTCTCCTCGCTTTCTTCACTGGCTGTCTCTCCCTGCTCTCTCCTGACTGTCTATCCTCACTCTCTCCCCTGGCTGTCTCTCCTCACTCTCTCTCCCCTCTTTCTCTCTCCTGGCTGTCTCTCCCCACTATAACTCCTGGATGTCACTCCTTGCTTTTTCCCATGGCTGTCTCTCCTTGCTCTCTCCCCTGGCTGTCTCTCCTTGCTCTCTCCCCTGACTGTCTCTCCTCGCTCTCTCCCCTGGCTGTTTCTGCTTGCTCTCCCCCCTGGCTGTCTCTCCTCTCTCTATTTCCTGCCTATCTCTCTCCTCACTCTCTCTCTCCTGCCTGTCACTCCTCATGCTGCCCCAATGGAAGAAGAAAATGTGGCCAGTGGCCCCCAGGTCATTTCAGTTTGAGATCCCGGTTTACACTGTGTATTTTATAAACATATATATATATGTATATATATATATATATATATATATATATAATCAGTAAGACATGACAAAAAATGTTGTACTCAAAAGTTCTTTGTTTTTTTGGAAGAAATTATTAGCGAGCAAGAGACCAATCTTAGCATTCTTACTATATTCTTACTAAGATTCGCATCTGTGCTGACACTGAGTACATCTTACCTAAATATTGTCCTTTACCCTCTCTGAAGGGTGGACCCAAAGGTCCTTTAATCATTGGATTCATGTATTTCATTTGAGGGTATGCTCCTCCAGCTGGTCCACCTCCGGACACTGATCCCACAGCAGCCACCAAAAGGAATAAAGTGCTACGTCCCAGGGACATCTTGATTTAGATCTGTAAAGGGAGATGGAATAAAACATTGATATTAGTTCCTGCTTCAATGATGCTTCCAGCTTAAGACACCTAAAACCTTCCTAGTATCTTCTACACCCAATTTAGACAGAAGGCACATAAAGAGACCCTATCACTTTTCCAATTAGGGCAGATTGAAAGGCTCTTCTAGTCCGTCTCTTCTCCTCCCCATCGATGCTCCTTCTACCAACCACCAATCCAAGGGGGCACTTTTCAAATGACCACCAATGCTATAGAAAACGACAGTGTTCATGGTCTAACATTTTTTTAATCATCATTCCTGAAAATATTTTTACATTTTTCATTTATGTTGTTTTTAGCTACTGCTGGGAATTGTGTGTGAGTGAAAAAAAAAGATATTTATTTGTGTTGCGCATGTTCAGAAGGATGAACATAGCATTACACTTTCAGCGCTCCCTCGCTTTTGAAAGCAAACGTGAGGAGGGGAGGAGCTGTAGGGTCTAGTGCAAAATCAGCACTGAAGAGCATCATCCTGAGTATGATTGCGTGTGCATTGGAAGAAGCGTCTGATGTGTTGCCTCATCATAAATAAATAATTGGATGAGATAGATACGGAGGGCAGACAATGCTGTGGCTAGATAGAATTCAGTGGCGGCCAGATAGCGTAGTTGGTCCTAAGTTGGAAATTATTATGAAAATGGGCATAATAAAAAAGTGTCATCATTTTTATGAACTAAGTACTGGGTGATTTTAATATTTGGCTGGAGTTCTGCTTCACAATCTTTTTCCTGAACTCCTTTAAGGGACACAGGAATATAGTAATTTTTGGACATTTGAGACGTCCAAAAGTCATCCAACTATGGAGTGGGCAACAGCCACTCAGAGATTAAAGGGATGTGAATATCTTACTAGGTCATCCAAAGGAATCAAAGCCTGAACAAGGCTTCATGAAGAAGGGGGAAGCAAATATGGAAAGTGCTACTAATGGAAAAAGGCACAAAGAACTAATCTGGTGTTCAAGAGCAAGTCAGGTAGCAACACTAGGGGGAGACTACTATCCAAAAGTATGATGGATCTCAACAAGAGTGTGGAGGATGACCTTTCAACCAAAACAAAAATGGCAAAGGTTTAAGCATAGGATATGCTTGAACTCTTCCCTTGACCTCAGGGAAAGGAAGGTTGGACAAGCAAGGTATGTCCCAACCAAAGACCAACCAGTCAACAACTAGAGGTTGAAGCAGAATACCCAGAACCCTTGTCTTCAGGAAAAGGGGAATTTATAATATAACCACCTTCTCAGTGTTAATGTTCTTCTAAGAAAGTAAAACTTAATTCAGCATTCCTCAAGATCTCAGTGCTTCATCTAAAACACAGAACCAACAGGTTATGGGCCCAGGGACTAAACAGAACACTGCAAGTCAACAAGAGCCACATCCAAGCTACTGAAAGATAGCAAGCAGTTCAGATATGAAGTTTGCAATTGCAAAGCTCAACAATACCAACTAGCAGCTATGGAAGTTCAAGCTTGAAATGCTACCAAGCAAAGATGACTTGTGGCAAGTACTGAGTACAGGCAGACCCACTAATGGACCCATGGAGGAATGGGACAGGAAGAACAGGCAAGCAAAAGCACTTATAAGTCTGCTGGTGGAAGAAGACCAGCTCATCCACATCAGAAAAGAGAATACAGCTAAAGGCATGTGGACTGCATTACAAAAACTGTATTAACGTTCAAACCTAAATAGTAAACTATATCTGCTACCCAAGCAGTAAAGGATGAGGCAAGAAAAAGGCCAGGAAATGCGTGAACATGTGAATGCCATGCTGGAAATTGTAGGAGAACTACATGCAATTGGAGAGGAAATTAAAGATAACCACGTGGAGGCATTACTGCTACCCAGCCTTCCACAGTCATACATGCTCTAATTAATGCTCTAGAAACCAGAACTGAGCAGGAACTAAAACTACAATACGCCAAAGGAAAATTAATCAATGAATATGACAGAAGGAAAGAAAATATGCACAATGAACAAAATGAGAAAGTCCTTAAGGTGCACAAAAGCTCAAAGCAAAGCAAAGAAAGCAGAGCATGTTTTCGCTGTAAAAAGACTGGTCACTTGTTTCATCTGGAAAGCCAAGCAGCGAAAGTGAGAAACAGCTACAAAAGAAAGAGCTAAGGTAGCCACAAAGGAAACTGAAGGCACATCATGGAGCGCCACCTTTAAAGTGACTCAGAACAGTATACCGCACGCATGGTGTATTTACTCAGGCGCAACAAGCCGCATGACTAGTGATGAGATCAACAGAAATTGATTTCAGTGCAAAGGGCAAAGTCTTCCTAGCAAACAGGAAAAATATGACTGCAGAAGGTAACGGTCAAGGATTCTTGAACTGCATCACACTGTCAGGGGACAAGCAGAGTATCCTCGTGCAAAATATACTGTATGTTCCAGACCTAGTAGGAAGCCTTCTATCAGTGAAAACACTTGCTAATAACAGTCTCACAGTTCAATTCCGAGCTGATGAATGTACAACCCAAAACAATAAACAAATCCTTGCAAAAGGAAAATTGGATGAACACCTGTACAGACTCATCACTGCAGATGAACAAGTCAAGACAGCCACTCATAATTCACACAACAAATGCATCCATCTATGGCACAGACGACTAGGTCACTGAAACCCAGAAGCCATAAAAGAGATAAAGAGAGGCTTATCAGAAGATATAACCGTAATACCCTGTCGAATGCTCATGACATGCAAATGCTGTATGGAAGCAAAGGCCACAGGTACCCCACTTCGCAGGCCACCCAAAGAAAGACCACCTACCCCATGGAGCTCATACATAGTGACGTGTGCAGACCAATGAAAACTCCCACATCAGGCGGGAACAGATATCTACTGACTTTCATTGATGATTATTCCAGGTACACAACAACTTATCTGATGAAGCATCAAAAAAACTTCAAGCATTTGTAGCCATGTCCTGCAACAAATTCCAATGGAAACCAGAAATTATATGCACCAACAATGGAGGGGAATACATCAGTAAGGAAGTGGAATCATATCTGAAGAAACAGGGTATAGTACCCCAGACCACCTTACTATACACTCCTGAACAAAATGGTGTAGCAGAATGGAAAAATCACACTCTTATAGAAATGGCCAGATGCATGCTGTTAGATGCCAACCTACCTAAGACATAATGGGGAGAACCAGTCATTACTGCAATATACCTACAGAACAGACTACCATCAAAAGCCATTGAAAGCACCCCATTTGATATGTGGCATGGATCCAAACCTAGCCTAGGGCACATTAGAGTGTTTGGATGTAAAGCTTAAGCTTATATTCCAAATGAGAAGCGATCCAAGTTGGAGAAAACAGCCCTTGAAGGTATTCTGATGGGCTATAGTGAACAAAGTAATATAGATATATAGATATAGAATCCTCCACCCAAAGAATGACAAAGTGACAATAAGTTGAAGCGGTTTTTTTAATTGGAACCCATCACCAGAAACAATGATCCTGGGAAGTTGTGAAGTGAATTCGCCCAGTGAACCAGCAAAGGAAGCTGAGCAAATTGAAGCTGCACAGGAGTCAGAACAAGAGGTGGAACTCACAATGGATAAGTCAAGTTCTATGTTAAATTCTGCTGAACAACCTAAAATTAGAAGGTTCACTCGGGGAACAGAGGGAATACCACTCTGCAAGCTGTCATATACTGCTAAGACACAAAGCATACTCGAACCAACATTGTGGGAAGACATAGAAAGATTACCAAACCCCAAAGCCAATCAATGGAGACAGACAGCAGAAGAAGAAATAAAATCACTCCAAGAATATAAAACCTGGACACTCACACAGCTTCTCCACGATCACAGAACTATAGGAAGCAAATTGACTTTTAAGGTGAAGCTCGATGCAGAAGGAAATATCCACAAATACAAGGCCATATTAGTTCTCAAGGGATACTCCCAGAAATTTGGAGAAGACTACGATAATTCATAATACAATACTTAAAAGGAACAGTGAGTGTTCAGAGGATTGGTCACACCAGAAGCTGTGCCACAGTCCTGCACATGGAGAGTGCCCTATGGCTAACTAACACAGTTTCCCTGGGTGATATGTGTGTGTGTGTGTGGGGGGTGTACAGGGACAATGATGGCATACTTGGAATTGTAGTTCCTTAGCTGATATATCTGTTTGGGGGTGGGGGGTACAGTTCCAGTGGATGTTTATATAATATGGGGGGGGGGCGGAAAAAAAATGTCTGCCCCGGGCGCCCATAACTCTGGTTACGCCACTGTAACACAGTACACTAAGATCTGGAAAGTACCAGAATATAGAGCTTAGTGCTGGAAGGTCACATTGCAGGCTAGCCACTTTGGTCAAATGGGGCCTGGGTACAGCCTCCAAAGTTATTGCTAAGGATACACCAATTCAGATAGCTGCTGTATAGTGCCCAAGCAGCATATCAGATGCCTTGATTGGAGAGAAAAAAACATCCATGGAATACTGAGCAGGTTGATAATAGAGAAAACTATAAAAAAAATATAGTTACAGTTTTCCACAGGAGAGCTGTTCAGTCTCCTAGGGCACTAGCCAAAAAAAAAAAGGCATGACGTTGGAGGCGAAGTTACAAGGGGGCTGGCTTAATGTTTCCTTGTTTGCCAGTGTCCAAACCTCCTGAAGGTGGCAGTATAACCCAAGTATCCAAGAATTACTATATTCTTGAGTATTTAATGGATGGTAAAGAATTATTCATTTATTTACATAGGCATATTTAGGGCCCAGCGATGGCATGGGCAGATACAAAACTTGTTGCTATGGTTTCCTCCTGAACTGCAACACTTTGTTATTGTGTGTTCATACAATGTGATGAGTGACACTGCAAAAAAAAATACTTTTCCCCCATAGCTCGATTTTCAATAGCCAATGGACTTAGGTGGTCCACCACATCTGCCCTATGGTTTTAAGGGGTCCGTTGACAATAAAACCTTGTGGTTCTCTGTTCTAAA